ATATATATATCAGCAAGCTATGTTAAAGCTGAAAAATAAGTCTTTCCTCCCATAAAACATGACATTTTCTGGTATAGAATTTCTAAACTGATTAAGTTTGTATTTGGAACAAGATAAAGCCATAAAATGTTCTTAATTTCATAAATACTTCAATTAACTTTTCATAAAAAACAGTCACTCACAGAACTATAAGGCAATGTTCAACAACAACGAAAAATATTTGGCAAGGGAAACAAAGACCATTTCAGTGCTTAATATTAGAAAAAGGATCCTGTGTTTCACATGGACTCGTTTTAATTGAAGACAATAGGGATATATACATCCCGATTTCCTGGCAAGAAGCAGCCTCTTCCTGTGAGGATATTTTTATTTTGCTTTCAACATCTCAAATCAAAAAAGACCAAAAGCCAAGGCTGCTTTTAAACTTTGACATCTCGAAGCTCAAGTAGAAATAAGTATTACAGTGTTCATTCTCTTATGTTCCCATTCCAGGAGACTCAGTCCCGAGCTTCCTACATCGACAGTCCCTTAAAAAAATCAGCAAATGACAATTCATTTAAAAATTACTTATCATGAGTTCTAGAATATCTGATCCCAGGCAAAAGGATCAGGTTCAAGTTATCACAGCAGACTGGGACAATGTACGGATCATCAAATCTGGGAGAGATTCAGCCCACCAATTTCACAGTGGTGTCTTCCATATGGAGCAGCTTGCTTACTGCCCAGTTCTCACATCCTCCTTGCATTATTGTGTATCAAAAACGTATTCTTTAAAATGGAAGGAAATATGGAAAGGAGGAAGGAAATGCCCAGCTCCTTATTTTTCTAAACTTACTTTGATGCAGAGAATAAACCCCTTATGCAAAGAATACTTTCCCATTATCATTAGATAAGACCTCACAATAGCTATCTCTTAACTACAAAGTTAATGTTTGCACTTCACCTACTGGAGGAACACACAGCATGCTGTGTATTTCCCTATGGAAATAAATCGATTCAAAACACACTGTAGCTTCTGGTACAACACCCAGAGACAATTTCATTTAAAATATCTTTCATTTAAATCATGTGTAACTTCCTTATTTAGAATAAATTATAAAAGTATCATAGTCAGACTCAACCGTGTTGTAAATTCAGATAATTCCTCATGCTTATTTTCTCTCTTGGTAATATTTTCAGAAGATTCTGTAGCCTTAGTGTCATTAATGTAAAAAATGCAAAAGCTTACATTTCTTTCTATGTAAAATATTAGGGTAGTAAATATTCTTCAAAAATATGAGACAAAGAAGAAAAAAAAAATGTTATAACTTTTTTTAAAAGTTTGTATACTAAATTCACTGACCAGCATAACCTTCAAGTCACCTTCAGAAAGAGTGATTAAAGTGAAAAGTCTAATGTAAAATAAAATATTTTACTAAATGTGGAACTGGATCAGTCTTTTCTTTATTTTAATTAATTTATTTTTTATTGAAATATGGTTGATTTACAACGTTGTGTTAGATTCAGGTGTACAGCAAAGTGATTCAGTTATACACACATATACATCTATTTTTTTTCAGATTCTTTTCCCTTACAGGTTATTACAAAATATTGAGTATAGTTTCCTGTGCTACACAGTAGGTCCTTAGAGCAATCATTTTTTACGCCATGAGAACTTTTTTCCTTGATAAGGTGACAGTTATAATTCTCTGCATTATCTTGTTGTGGCCAGAATGAACAATAGTTCATGTGACATTGAAGTTATAATTTTAAGCTGTAGGCACTAACTGGATTTAGCCTCAGTAGTTAGCCATTATTTCATTTGTCCGCAATGCTTTCCTCCTCAGCAACCAGTTAAAAGCTGAACAATTTCTAAACCAGCTTAGATACAAGGCAAAACTAATTGTGAAGTTGGACATGTGATTCCTTGTAAATGTCTCTCTGCAGAGTCATCTCATTTTCAAAGCCCTGAAAAAAGCTCACAGCAAACGGCAAGCACTATATAACAACTCCTGTTTTTATGCGGAGTTTTACACTAAAAAAATGCAAAACATTTTTTACTTGCAACCAACAGCTCCCAGGAAAATTTAAACTTGCTTTATGGTATTTCCTTTGTATAGTGTTAAGCATGAAATAATTTTAGATCAAGAATTTCTTTGAGTTGAGTAAACAAAAGAAAACAATGTTATATGTGTTCAAGGAAAACATGCACACAAATACATATGTGGGTGTGTCCCTCCTCTTCCAACATGTTTTCTAAATCTTGGCTTATATAACCTGTACATATTTGTGTGGGGGGTAGTGGGAGCTGTTTGTTGATTTCCAATTAGCCTGGTTGTAGACTCCTTAGAGGTGTAGCATATCGAGTTTTCTGTCATTGTGCTGTTACTGTTGAAGACCAATTTGTTGCAGTATTTTGGTATGCATTCTGATAAATGGTGATCTTCTATTAAAATATGGCATTTTTTTCTAAAAAAATAAAAAAATTTATAACTCACAGCAGCAGCCTGCTCTTTAACCGTTTGCTCTCAGGGGCAGAAAGTGCTTTCAATGCATGTGCAACCGGAAACTGACAAGGGTTTGTCTATTTCTTAATAAAAGCAGAAAGTACTAAGTAACTAAGGCATAACTACTGCATAATTAGCACTTGGCCTTATCTGATGATATCTTTCACAGTCCAACCTGGAGACCTGCAGTACTTAACAGAAGAACAGGCGATTTTCTTTTTTTCTTTTTTTTAAACGTATCCCTCTAAAACCAGAAAATCCTGTTTTTGCAATATGCACAAGTTAATCCCCTCACTCTGTCTGTCACCTGTCTCTCCCAACAGCTTGAGACATGGAATCTCCATGCCTGAAAGATAACCTGTCTCTTAGCAAACTAAAACTTCCTTTCCCCACAGAGCCTGCAGTGCTGCAGTTTCACATTAATAAGCCAAAAGGAACTCCCTAAATTAACCTGTTTTGTTTTAAAATACAAAAGGGCCAAGAGATTTTATAAAAATAAAAATAAATACCTCTAGAAACCAAGGCTTTTCTGATTACTTACTGATTGACAGGACCTCATCATTTAATAAAACAAGGAAAAAGCTGTGAAGAAAAAAAGTCTGGGGTCTCTACTTTTCACAAGCAACCGCTTGCTCTCAGCCATAACAAGCATTTTGCATGCAATCACTTGTGCCTGTGGTCCTAGCAAACGTGGTCATTAGTTAGGCATTCTACTCTTCACTCTGTCTTGCAGTATTCTGAACTTTTTTACCCTGAATTGCCCCCAAAGCACAATGCAAAATAAAGGGACATTTTAACAGTTAGCAGTGCACCAGACAGCAAGAAGTCTGTGTAGTTTCCTTATTTAAATAAACATGTTTAAAGGGATAGAAAATCTATTCTAAATCAGTCATCAAAATCTCAGTGGAAGAAAAAAAAATATCTGGTTTTATTCAAAGTTATGGTGAGTAACTTGGCAACTTTTAAATTAATTTGAAATTAATTCAGGTGCTTTTCAGTCATCGCAGTCACAAACAGGGAGTACTGAACAGAAAGATGACAAGGCAATTGTTTTTGTTCAGACTTGTCACAAACTATATTTCCCTGGACTTTTCATCTCTGCAGATTTCGAATTCCCCTTTCCAAGGAATATTTGACCTTCAGATTTCAGTCCCTGTATCTCTTGATTTCCTGCATCCATCATATGTTAGAAAACTGAAACTGGGCTACAAGTATATTATCTCTGTTACCTGACTTTAATTAATTTTATTTGTTTTCAAAATCTGCGTTGTGCCCACCCTGCATTGCAGAGGAATCTTAGCATGAGATCCCAGCTTGGCTCCTTCAGAGTCACTGCAAACTGGCTTTAATTGTATTTACTGGGGTAGAAGGGGGGAAGGAAACCCCCCCGCCAACCTAACCAGACAAGCAATGCTGGGCGACAAGTCCCCAGCGCGGCTGAATCTTCCAGCAAACCAGCCTGGGCGCTGTCCTTGGTGCTGCCAGCGCCATAGCGAGCACAAGCGCCTTACCTTCTGCCCCTGCGGAAACTGCGGACGTCCCCCAAACGTTAAGCAGAAAGCAGCGACATATCCCACTTTTAATACAAATAAATACCCCGGCCCAGCCTCTCTGTCCCCTTCTCGAAGACTTCAGGCTGACCGTTCTTCAAAGTCTTTTTGTTTTTTTCTTCTAGGCCCAACTCGGGGCCTGCGCTCATCTCGGGCTGCTTTAAGACCGGGAGTGGGGGGAGGGGAGGAAGACAAGGAGCGATTAGGATGGGGGAGGGGCGGGAGGAAAGGGGAAGGGAGGAAGGAGAAAGAGAAAAGACAAGGCTGGGAAGAAAAAGGTCCAGGAGGAAGGGGCTCGGAGAGAAGGGAGGAGTGAGTGGGAGTAAAGAAGTTTTAAAGTGGGAAGGCGAAGAGATGCCAAATAGAGGGGGAAGTGATTAAGCACAGAAGATGGGTAAAGGAAAAAGTAATGGAGAAAGGGCAAAAGAAGAGAAAAACGTGAAGATAAGAGTGCAGAGGGCTTACAAACACACGCACACACACACACACACACACACACACACACACACACACAAAGAACAAAGTGGCTTAGGGGGTCGCTAGAAAAGCGGCCCGAACGGTGGGAGAGTGATTGAACAAAGAAAGGGCGTTGGGTGAATGCTCCCACTGGGGGTGTAAAATGCAATCCGAAGGTGAAGAGAAATGGAGACAGGGGGCTTGGGAGGGGACAGGTGGTCTGGCACCGAAAGAAGAGCTGGGGGGAGGGGTCGGGGCCAAGGTAGCAAAGTCCGGGGTCCGATGCGGCGCGGGCCCACGTGGAGCGGGCGCTGAATCACTGCTGGGCTGTCTTCACCACCACCCCCCCATCCCAATGGCCCGGTACCCGCAGTCCCCGCCTCCTCGGCCGCCGCCTCCACTGGGCGGGGCCCTGGCCCAGGACCAGCCGCCGCGGCTATAAAGGGGCTGCGGCGAGTGCAGCAGAACGCTGTGCCAGCCACACGCCCCGAAGCCTCCAAGATGAGCTACACGCTGGACTCGCTGGGCAACCCGTCCGCCTACCGGCGGGTAACCGACACCCGCTCGAGCTTCAGCCGCGTCAGCGGCTCCCCGTCCAGCGGCTTCCGCTCGCAGTCATGGTCCCGCGGCTCGCCCAGCACCGTGTCCTCCTCCTACAAGCGCAGCGCGCTGGCCCCGCGCCTCACCTACAGCTCGGCCATGCTCAGCTCCGCCGAGAGCAGCCTCGACTTCAGCCAGTCCTCGTCCCTGCTTAACGGCGGCTCTGGGCCGGGCGGCGACTACAAGCTGTCCCGCTCCAATGAGAAGGAGCAGCTGCAGGGGCTGAACGACCGCTTCGCGGGCTACATCGAGAAAGTGCACTACCTGGAGCAGCAGAACAAGGAGATCGAGGCGGAGATCCAGGCGCTACGGCAGAAGCAGGCCTCGCACGCCCAGCTGGGCGACGCGTACGACCAGGAGATCCGCGAGCTGCGCGCCACCCTGGAGCTGGTGAACCACGAGAAGGCTCAGGTACAGCTGGACTCGGACCACCTGGAAGAAGACATCCACCGGCTCAAGGAGCGCTTCGAGGAGGAGGCACGGCTGCGCGACGACACCGAGGCGGCCATCCGCGCGCTGCGCAAAGACATCGAAGAGTCGTCGCTGGTCAAGGTGGAGCTGGACAAGAAGGTGCAGTCGCTGCAGGATGAGGTGGCCTTCCTGCGGAGCAATCACGAGGAGGAGGTGGCCGACCTGCTGGCCCAGATCCAGGCGTCACACATCACCGTGGAGCGCAAAGACTACCTGAAGACAGACATCTCGTCGGCGCTGAAGGAGATCCGCTCCCAGCTCGAATGCCACTCGGACCAGAACATGCACCAGGCCGAAGAATGGTTTAAGTGCCGCTACGCCAAGCTCACCGAGGCCGCCGAGCAGAATAAGGAGGCCATCCGTTCCGCCAAGGAAGAGATCGCCGAGTACCGGCGCCAACTGCAGTCCAAGAGCATCGAGCTCGAGTCGGTGCGCGGCACCAAGGAATCCCTGGAGCGGCAGCTCAGCGACATCGAGGAGCGGCACAACCACGACCTTAGCAGCTACCAGGTAGGAACAGCGGCTGCGCGGCCAGCCTGCGCCAGCGCCAGCGCCGCGCGCC